CTCTCTACAGACCCGTTCTCTCCGCAGACCCATTCTCTCTGCAGACCCGTTCTCTCTGCAGACCCATTCTCTCTGCAGACCCGTTCTCTCTGCAGACCCATTCTCTCTGCAGACCCGTTCTCTCTACAGACCCGTTCTCTCCGCAGACCCATTCTCTCCGCAGACCCGTTCTCTCTGCAGACCCATTCTCTCTGCAGACCCGTTCTCTCTACAGACCCGTTCTCACTGCAGACCCATTCTCTCTGCAGACCCATTCTCACTGCAGACCCATTCTCTCTGCAGACCCATTCTCACTGCAGACCCATTCTCACTGCAGACCCATTCTCTCTGCAGACCCATTCTCTCTACAGACCCGTTCTCTCTGCAGACCCATTCTCTCTGCAGACCCATTCTCTCTGCAGACCCGTTCTCTCTGTAGACCCGTTCTCTCTACAGACCCGTTCTCTCTGCAGACCCATTCTCTCTGCAGACCCATTCTCTCTGCAGACCCGTTCTCTCTGCAGACCCATTCTCTCTGTAGACCCGTTCTCTCTGCAGACCCGTTCTCTCTGCAGACCCATTCTCTCTGTAGACCCATTCTCTCTGCAGACCCATTCTCTCTGCAGACCCATTCTCTCTACAGACCCATTCTCTCTACAGACCCATTCTCTCTGCAGACCCGTTCTCTCTGCAGACCCATTCTCTCTACAGACCCATTCTCTCTGCAGACCCATTCTCTCTGCAGACCCATTCTCTCTGCAGACCCGTTCTCTCTGCAGACCCATTCTCTCTGCAGACCCGTTCTCTCTACAGACCCATTCTCTCTACAGACCCATTCTCTCTGCAGACCCATTCTCTCTGCAGACCCATTCTCTCTGCAGACCCGTTCTCTCTGCAGACCCGTTCTCTCTGCAGACCCATTCTCTCTACAGACCCATTCTCTCTGCAGACCCGTTCTCTCTGCAGACCCATTCTCTCTGCAGACCCGTTCTCTCTGCAGACCCATTCTCACTGCAGACCCATTCTCTCTGCAGACCCGTTCTCTCTGCAGACCCGTTCTCACTGCAGACCCATTCTCTCTGCAGACCCATTCTCTCTGCAGACCCGTTCTCTCTGCAGACCCGTTCTCTCTGCAGACCCATTCTCTCTACAGACCCATTCTCTCTGCAGACCCGTTCTCTCTGCAGACCCATTCTCTCTGCAGACCCGTTCTCTCTGCAGACCCATTCTCACTGCAGACCATTCTCTCTGCAGACCCGTTCTCTCTGCAGACCCATTCTCTCTACAGACCCATTCTCTCTACAGACCCATTCTCTCTGCAGACCCGTTCTCTCTACAGACCCGTTCTCTCTGCAGACCCGTTCTCTCTGCAGACCCGTTCTCTCTGCAGACCCGTTCTCTCTGCAGACCCATTCTCACTACAGACCCATTCTCTCTGCAGACCCGTTCTCTCTGCAGACCCGTTCTCTCTGCAGACCCGTTCTCTCTACAGACCCGTTCTCTCTACAGACCCGTTCTCTCTGCAGACCCGTTCTCTCTGCAGACTGTTAGAGATTTGGAGGGATAACTGGTCCGCTTTTCAAATCTCCGCGCGTTCCTATGAAGCTGGTTATAATACAGGAAGGAATCCATATCTACAAAGTAACCGTTAACAATAATCTACTTTAATGGCAATATGACAATGCAATACAATCATTACAATACAACATGATATATTACAGTTATATTGCAATGCTTAAGGAGTAATGCCGGCTTACTCCTGCTCTAGTCCGCATACTGCAGAGCTACTTTCACCCGAGCGCAGCATGTGAAGAAGAGGCCGAACGCCAGGGATCCACCGGATATATACCAGAGTAAGAAGGAGGGGTTTGGTGTTAGGTCAGCTGGTCATCTTTTCAGGTCATCTCATTGGGAGACGCAACGCAGCAGGAAACGCAGCAGGAAACCAAACAGGCTCACTTTCCAACAAAAGGTCTCAAGGCCTGCATACCTACACCTCCCCCACAGAGCCATAAAACCCTGTTTACTCCAACCAGCCCAGAATGTTTATAGCCATTTGTAGTCCTTACATTTATGAAAGGATAAAACAGAGAAATCAATATAAAACACAAACACAGGTATTGTTTGAACAGTATTCACTTAACTGCTACTATTGATAAGCACCAGAGAAACCCAAGGGACCTCTCTTAATAGCACAACCACTGTAGCTCGTTCTAAGTTGAATGCAAATCAGGACATGCTCTCACCTTCCCCCATCTTCCTTTGTCCTCAAAAACACATGTCAACAGGCCCCAAATGCAGCTCACAGTTTTACCCAAATTATTCCCATTTTAAGCTTATCCATAGTTTGCTAACATGAATAAATACAAATATAACTCTACAAATCCCCCTTTTTATCTCCTTCTCCAGAGATAAACTTAGACAAGGCATTTTGAAATATACCCACGGTCATTCTTTTCTACTGTGTCCGTAAATCCATCCGAAGCTGGTATTCAGAGTACTTGAAACCTTCATGGAGACC